TAATAACAGGCGAAAATGTGGGTCTTTGCCGCTGAAGAGCTTCTAATTTTGGACTAAAAAGGGTTCGGCGTGTGCCAAAAGAGCCGCACTTTTGGAATAGACTGGCAAAGTGATAACTACTCAACGTTTCAGGCTGGTCTAGTACCAAGCGATCGAATGAGTTTATGGCTCAATATAAGGCAAATTCAACCAGGACTAGGTAACGTAGTACCATTGACTATGAATCCTACTTATACTGAATAGAGTACAGAAAACAAATCATTATTTACTTGTCTAAAGGATTGATGTTTATTTCCCAGCCGATATATGTGAAGGAACTAAAATCAAACGTGACAATTAATAATGAGGCATTTTAAAATATTAATATTTCTTTTAGTACACTTTATTGTGTAAGAATATAGAATGTCACTGAAGAAGTCCCCCGCTGTAGAAGATAAGAATGGTGTGAAATTTATATGTTAAGATTAAAAGTTAAGAATGTTATAGATTTTCACCATTGCTGTGCAACTAAAGTATAATAAATGAAAGCACCGTAGTCACGTAGTGGTAAGCTTATGCACCATTAACAAAATTAACTTTTTAGGCTTGGAAGAAAAGAAGTTGAGAATAAGATATGAAGTAACGAGAAGAGGAGGAAGAGGAGACAAAAACGAAGAAGACTAAGGATAGATAAAAGTCTGAGCAAAAAAAGAAATCCGAGAAGAAGAAACATACGAGAAGACGATGAAGGAGTAGACGAATACTTTGAATTAATCATTAATTAGTGTAAGATATTATGAAGATGAAATACAGACTAAGAAAACTAACAACCAAGAAGAATGAGGTAGAAGAGGATAATGAGTTGGATCAGGAAGATGAAGGAGAAGGAGGAAGAATTTTAAGTAATATACCATGAACAATACATGAAAAATAAGAACCAAAACAAGGACAACGAAGAAGAACAAAGAAGCAGAAGAACTAACCGAGGATAGAAAATAATAATAATGACAATATAGATGAGATAATTGTGATGGCGGATGAAAAATGTATAATTGTAATGAGGAATCGTTCTTTTACAGATTACGAGAGCTGGTTTAGAGCCGAGAGCCAGTAGGGCCCTCGGGATCCCGTGAACATCTTTATAGCACCATTCGCTACTTTGCGAGGCCCAGATTGTATCTCGGACACCTCAGCCGCATAGATCCCAACACAACAAAGTAGGCTGTTTAGTGTTATGGACTGGGCTTCCGGTGAATTGGGCGCTAAACACCAATTAGGAAACAGTCCCTCGAATTGATTGTGTGACCCCCGCAGAGTCTTGCCACTGTTGCCAACACGTAACAATTACTAAACAGAATATCAGCACGTCTCTTTCTGTGTATGCAATAAACTTCGACTTTTAGCTTAATTTGAAGATACTTATACCAAATTAAGTACTTAATAAAGTACTTAAATACTACTTAAAGTAACTTAAGTACTTAAAGTATAAGTTAGATACTTTATACCCCAGGTGAATAGGAGTGTCAGAGTGATCGAAAACGTGCAGTACAAGAAAGCTTAGGAATGAAAACTTGTGTAGAGACATGTAGAATTGCAGTTTCGTGATTTAGATTGTTGTAATTAGAGTTATAAATTGCAATTAATTGCATTAATTTCAATTAGAAATAACTCTATGGTGAATTACCCATAGTAATATAGTTTAAGTAAAGACACGAAAGAACCTCTTTCTTATTTGTTCCAGAATTGGGCTATTACTATAATTTAGAGAATGCACTCGTTTCAAGCTGGCCACATACTAACCATCCTAAGAACTATGCCTAAAGAGCTCAAATTTAATATGGGTTTTAGAAACTATTATCAAGAATAATATTGTTTTCGGCCCGACTTGCCATACTCACTCTGTTTTGTTTGGATGAGTAACCCCACTGACCTGTGTAGGGGGTTTTACGGCCAAATCAATCACCAAGATATCAGAGATTAGGCTAGAATCTGACTATTTATGTTCGATGATTGGATACACATTACTTAAGAGTCTTAGATGTACTTTAAAAGCCACAATTTATTTGCCACCATCACAACTTTTGCCAAAGATTGACACCATTAGCCAAACCTTTTACAGGGCTGCATCTATTGCATTATCTTTCAGTGTTGGTCAAAAGTCTAAACTATTAAGTTTTTTGTTTGGGTGCAAAATACAAGAGCATCAGCTTTATTCTCAAAATACTTTAATTTGACACAGAATTATAAACTAGATCCGAGAAATATCCTCAGCAGATATCCATATAGGTACTTAAGTATTTGTACAACTTAGACTTAAATATTGTTATTGGAGTAAGTTTCAAGGGGAATGCTTATACGTTGTGCTGCTGCATCAATCAAGATCACGTTAGAAGCATCTTGACATTTCAACATATTAATGAAACAAAATTATGATGCAGCAGAATATGCCTTCTATATTTTATATTTTTATAACAGATTAACTTTTGAATTTCTCAATGATAATGTAATAATTTTCTTTTCTAGACAAACTACTTTATCCATAAACCCTGAAAGTGGTAGAGTTCTTCAAAGCCACGTCATGAAAAACTCCCACATTTAAACTCAACATCTCCCTTTTCTTGAAAATCCTCCAATCCCCGAACATACCTCCATCACTGATACCCCAGTGATTTATCTCCAATACCCAACAAAGGCTACTTATTTTGTCTAAATGGTATTAACCTGTGGGAAATCTCTGCGACGAAATTGAAGGAGAAACAATTATAACAATTAACCCGCGGGGAAGAATGCCCAGTAGCTGACATTGGTGGGATACCCCGACCGCTGCATTCCCGCTCGGCGACATTTTCTGTATTTTATTGTCAGGCTCGGTCTGTAGTCTGTAGTCAGTAGCCTGATCAGTTTATGTTCCCTTGACAAGAACGTCTTGTCTCCTAAGTGCGGCCTTGTCACCTACACATTCTAGAAAGTTTTGTCTTCGTATGCAAAGAAAGACTTTTGTTCTGCGGTTGGAATAATCAGTTGCAGTATGAATCAACCACAACCTTTTCGTGGTGCAGAAAATGGAACACATATAATCAGGTCAAATATCAGATTTGAATTTGACATTCAGAAGATACAATTTCTGCAGATCGAAAAATGTAGTTTATTCATACTACAACGGATCGTTTTGCCAAAAACATAAATAATCTAAATTCTGACTATTCTAATGCATAATGAAATACCATTAGATCTTTCGGATTACCAAATATATTGAAAATAGTGTTCCTCGTATGGTAATCTACAAATTGGACTGAGTGCTTTGGTGTCAATGTGGCGACATTCTCTTGGACCTTCGTTGATTGTAGACCTATTAATTCTGATCACTTTGAAATGCCATAAAACAACATAGATGCATATAAACACAAACATAAACGACATGAACGACAGAACCGACATACGTTAAGATTTAAACACTAGGTTTGTAAAGATGTAATCCCTGTAAGTTTTGAGTATAAAACAATCAAGTGACGGTCTTCAAGAGATATGAATATAACGAAAAGACGAGGAAAGTAAAGCCGCCATTAAAGCCTGAGGAACCACTTACACAAAATGTTATTATTTTATCACAAAAATATAATGACCTGTATGTATCCCCCACTACCCAAACCTACTCCTGTAGATGTACAAATAAGATAAAAAATCTAACAATCTTAAATCTTAAGGATTCTAAAAATCTAAAAAATAAAATACCCCGCTACAGCGAACCTGCAGACTAAACAGATTTCCATTTACCTGGTTGGATTTTCACTAAGATATCAACTCAAAATTATTGTAAGATTTTTTTAAAACTCAAATGACATTAATTGTGATTGTTACATAGGTTTGCTGCTACAGGGAAGATAACACATTTTGTGTTTTTATTGAAATATAAATAGTTTTGTATGATATAAGCAGATCAGCTAAATATGGCCAGAATACACCCCTAAACAAGGAAAACGTACAACATATTCTTCATAAGAATAACATGGGAAATATAAATATAAAGACTGTTTTCTAAACAGTATCTTTTATTAAAAAATAAATATAATATCTTTGGTATGCAAAATAGGACATATAAAGACATGTTCATAAAAAAGGCACTTATAAAATATCTAACAGTTAAAATGAGACATTTACTATGCTTATTACAGTAAAAACATCACGATACTAATATCAAAGAAAAATAGTTGAAAAATGTCTTAAGAAACTGGCCAACATCCCAAAAGTCAGTTCAGCCTTATCATACTACAATTAATTGTTAACATTAATATCAAGTAATAACCCTAATATAACAATGACTTCATTAAAATAAATCACAAGTTGTTCGTGTTAAAAATAACGCCTATTGAACACATTGACTAATAAAAAAGTCTTTTCCTATTAACTACTTTGTGCGTACCAAATCGTTTTAGTGTATAGCTATGACTAGAATATTGTGTTAATATTTACATTTATATTTAATCTACATTTAAATTACAAAGTATACTATGGATTATATACAGTTGTATGCATACATTTATGGCCTAACCGAGGTGTATATTTAAGCAGAATTTACGAAATGATAAATTAATCATATATTTTCAATAGCATAGGAAATAACTCAATTACTGTATAACGAATAGTTTTGACAGGATGGTATCACAAAATTAATACTAAAAGTGTATCAGAACTAAGTGGTGTCATTTAAATTACGTAAAGCAAGACCTCCTTTTTGTAAAATGTATAATTGATTTTTAATTATATTTACAAAAAGCTGAACTTTTATTGTAATTATTGATGGTAGTGCTTCCTTAAATAGTTTTAACCACAAATGTAAAAGACTTCATTCAAAAATATAATTGTGAATATCAGAACGGTAATTTTATAATTTGAGTCATGAGTTACAAAACTCTATGTTGCATTTCAAGCATGTCTTAAACGTTTAAAACTCAACATTAAGTTCATCTCATAGTTTATAGCAATGTAAGTTCTTATTCACATGTTGTCTAAATGTTCAAGAATCTGTCACCTCATCTAGGAGCTCCCTCTAGAAGATCACACAACGCGGAGATATACGTCTGAGCCATCTGGAGAGTTTCAAACTTGCTGAGTTTGTGATCAGTTCCGATTGAAGGAATCACCTCCCGGAGTCGGTCGAAGGCCTCGTTCAATCCGCTCATTCTTCTTCGTTCCCGGGCATTGGCAGCGAGTCTCCGGCGACGCATCACACTGGGGGAAGGTTGGCGAGACACGGGGGCAGAGTGTCTTCTTTTCCTGGGTAGAACCTTGGGGGACCCCGCGAGAACTTCGTTTGACTCAAGACCTATTGAAGAGTCCAAACTCCACTCACGATCTAAGCCTCCACTGTCTTCCAATCCAAACTGCTGTCTTTGAACTTCTTCATAAGAATACGCAGAAGAAACTCTAAGTCTATCTTGGTCAAAATTCGTGTAGAATGACTTTCTCTCGAAATTGGCGTCTTCCACTTGTTCTTGGAAGTCCCATCTTGAAGGACCCGGGTAGTTGTTGTTGAGAGGTTCTGGTTTGATCGGTTTGGGAGTGACGATGGTGGAGGTCCTGGAGCGGTCTAGGAGAGGTCGGTCTAGGACGGAACGTCTAAGACGGTCGGAGTGTGAGCCGAAACCTTCGATGTAGTAGATCTTCTCCGGACTGGATGACTGGGGGACGACGTCCATTGTAAGCTCTTGGAGGTATGTCATTGTGTGGTGTTGTCCTTCATTGTTGATAATCTGAAACACATTGATTGATTATTATTTTAATTGTAGTAATCTTCTAATAGTTTTTAAATTGATTAAATACACTTGAAGTGACTGGAGCTTCTTGAAAACTCCTGACCAACTTCTTGTTGGGCATTGTTGGATAATTTTTCGAAGTGGTCTGTGTTTAATCATTGTTATCGAGTCTGATACTAGACTCAGCTTTTAGCATTTATGAAACATATTTCCCTAGTGTTGGTTAGTCTATGCTATTAGTTAGTAATAGAGCCACATGGCTGAGGTAAAGTACTACCATATACCATATACTACCATATAAGTACTACCAACACTAGGGAGTATGTTTAATCTATAGTACTACAACTTAATGATAAAATTAAATAAAAATATTAATTTTCAGCCATTTATTATCAAGACTCAAAAGACTCTTATTTCTTATAAGGCTTCAATACGAAAAAATGTTAACCCTTTTTATACAAGACTAGCAATTAGTTCTAGACATTTATTGCACTGGGGGTCATACAATGAGTTATCCTGTTCTATTTGCCTCTGAAATTTCTTAGATATTCTTCACCTTGTTTTTTTCACATACCGAATGTCATCTTCGCTGTCATTCCAAAATCAAACCATCCACTTAACCTGCAGCAATGCAGTTTTCGAATAATCTACATTAAGTTTTTACACCACATTACTAAAGACCCCAACGGTACACCACAGACTCAAGAACGATTATTTTCTCACAATAAAGCGTGATCTATCAGAATTGCAAAAAGCTGCATAGTGACTTGGGAGCCAGCGGAGGGATTTTCCCACAACTGTTGTCACATTTGATATACGCTCTAATAGGTTAATATCATTGGTTACGCTACAAATCTCCCGCCAGCGCGGGACTTGGCGACTGCGCTCCCGCCATTCCTGACATACCCTCACCGATGAAATAGTTACCCTTATCATTGTCCAGGTAATGACCGCCGTTTCTTTGAAACGCCGCCTCACTTTTTCCGGATCAATCGTTAAAGCTCTTGTAGATTGCTTGTAATTATTACGACTGGCCGCTAATTATATAAAATAATAATTGCGCCTTATTATCCGATAATCCGGTCCGTGGAAAAAGTGGACAAAAGTTTTTATTGTTTCACTACTTGTTAGCACTTTCGCTTACAAAGTTTTTGTGCTGAAGATAGACACTGTACACGTCAGTACTAATGTTTAGTTTGAAATTCAACTCATTTTAGTGGAAGCATTGAAATGTTGATTTTGAATATATTTGTTCTGATTTGTATAAATTTATGAATATATTCTGTAACATAAAATCTTTATATGGATTTCAATTAAAATGTTTTTAGGCTTAAATAAATAATTTCTATATTACATGTATTTACTGTTCAAACCATAAAGGAGCCACATATGATGACACATATTTTGTTAAAAGTATAGTGAGTTATGTAGAAGGCTGATTAGTGTGCCACAGTGATGTATGTACTTATCATGTATTATGTACTTATCAATAGTTAAGTAATAAACAACGATCCTACTGCAATTACAATTTTCATTTAACCTAATTCCATAAATGAGGAATTTAATCTTTTTTAATCATTTTACTGTGATAATATTGGTACTAATTAAAGATGGGCTGAATTTAATGCAACCTTACAAATTCTACTAATAAACTAAAACTAGGAAAAACTATCCTGTATTTCAATTGTTTTGTGAATCAGTGAATGAATGAAATAATATGTTTATTTTCCACATAATGTCCAGTATGAACAAAGTACATACTTTTAATACACAAAGAATTGAAAAATATACACTAAAATTAAATTAAAATGAACATTTTCTGTATTACCTTATTTAATATATATTCAGAAAATACATAGGCAAGTGCTGCCTGTGCGTTTGCTGGGTTGATATGAAGAAAACAAATTATACGCCAAATCTTAATGGAATTATATAAAAATTCAAATAAACTGTTGCTTTAAAAAAATATTAATTTCGGGGAAAGACTTCATATTGAATGCACTTAAAATATAATAAAACCAAATTAATTAGATAAAGTACAGTTAAGTCAGTTTTAATCAGATTCAGGTGGCTACGAAGATTACTGCTGGCTCAGGATGGAGAGGTCAAGGGTCGGGTCAAACGCGCCGGTAATCAGCTGTGATGATAACGACGGCCTCATCTATACCAAGCCTGAAGATAAAATCTTTTCTGTGATACAAAAAGCTTATCATTACTAAAATGAGTACATATATATCGATAGAGTACATTAGAAATATAGAAAGAGTTAGCTTTAGAGAAAGTATAATTTATCAGAATGGAAGAATTCCTACTCGAGAGGAGTAACGGGTACTGTGAGAGTGAGTTATTTCTTGAAATATATTACAATGATTTTGAAAGATGTTTATTAATAGGCTTTTAATGAATAGCTGTCGAATAGTGAGAATGTACCATTCCTCAAACAGAGCGTCAGTTGGGTATCGTCTGCACTTGTCAACTCCACTTTTAAAATTGTTTTTGAACAACGTTTAAAGGTTCGAGAATACTTTTTTAGCACCCACCCCACGTGATGATCCCAAAAGTCAGCAACGGCTAGACATAAGCAAAGTATGCCATTTTAAATTCCTTAATTGTTAGGATTTCATTCATCTGTTTGTAGTACAGTAGCATAACGTAACATTTATGTATAAATAGTATTTTTATATTGGACAAACTTTGCACAAATACCTCCAACGAAATGCTGGCAACGTTACCATAGATAGTTTCAGGAGATGTTAAACAAGCAATTTTACTGATAATGCAAAACCCATTATTTACTAACATTGGGGACTATAAGTTACCTTGGTGGATTAATCAAAATATTTCACATACATATAAATTTAATTGTCATTATATTTTTAATTTTAATATCAAGGTCCAATATTTTCTGTTGAAAGTTTTAATGTTCTAAACTGTAACAGGTACACAACTAGAATGCATGTTCTAAATTTACTAATTACGTTTTGCATAGTTAAAGTATCTTCTTCATAAACTCTAGTGTATTATTAAAAATGTCTTAAGGTTACAATAATAGTATAGTTATTATTGTAGTAAAGTTAGTAAGTTTCTTGTTCCTTATGATATTCAAATTATATAAAAACCAATCAATGGCAATATTGCTTACAATACAGGGTAACATCAATTTGTAACGAAATAGTAAAGTGATAATTTTGAAAGTTTAGAAACTGTAGTTTTACTACTTAAAGATATTTTGAAGATAGATCTCCCAGGCTTTGCAATTTGTCATTGTATCAGGGATCAGACTTTATGAATAGTTGATGACGATGTAATCGTACACATATTATTTTTAAGATTTTAAACAAGATTAAAAAGTACCATTATATTTGTATCGTACATTTTTAATGAAGAAATAATTAAACAGGTTATATATCTTTTAAATATTCACATTTAATTAAACTGACTATAAGTTTTGAGTATTGACACGGCTAGACATTCCGCCCCTGGTTGTAAAGTTATAGCCAGTTTTAAAATCAAAATCGTAGTAGCTGATTTGAGCTACCAATGGATAGTGCTGATCTAAATTAGCGATTTCTCTAGAATACAAGAGTTTTGTATTGAGTATTTATAATGCTATATAATGCTATCTTGGAAATATTTTATACGTAGTAAAGAATGTACCAAAAACTAGTAAATTTATGACTCTTAAGTTTGATAATTTTAGGTATTAATCCAAAAAAGAAATAAGTAATTTGTTGTAAATAAAGGCCTATTATTTATATTAATCAATTGTGTAGCTTGATTTATGATATTTAACCTAAAATAGATTTTATTCCTAAGCGGATAATTAAATTGGGTTACCATTTAATGAACGACTGATCTGAAACTGTAGACTATGTATGTATAGCAATGCTGTGATAATTTATCAATGCTTTAAAAAATAGTGATATAGGTATAGTTGTTTGAGGCTAAAATAATTGTTTAACTTCCCTTTAGGTGCTAAATGTATTGGCCTGAAAATATTTTACTGTCTTATGTCAATCAATTAATCGATTGTATGTATTTAAGTTTATTATTTATATACACTTGGTTTTGAGAGCCTAATTGGTTTTTATGTTATAACTTAATTTGGGTTAAGAAAAACTATTTGATTAAATAAATATTCCTTATGAATGAATATTTTAATGTGTCAATGAACACGCAAGCATTGATAAAAGAACTACAAAGTTAAACAACTAACATTGTAAAAAGTGTATTAAAAGTATAATCATTTTAGAAGCTATTGCATTTTGAACTACAATTTTAATACAGAAGTAATTTTTGTTTGTTAAAACACTAATAATTTTTATTGTTATTGACTTTACAATAATAATTTTATATCTAATATTCATACAGCAATACTCTGTCTTAAAGTTAATACCCTGTTTAAATCTACGGAACGTCCGTAAAAGAGTAAGGGATGGGCAGTTAGAAAGATTTAGTATATGCCATATATCTCAAGCCTTCTATACTTAGACGTTCTTACTTAGGTCTTATGGGAACACCAATATCGGCAGGAAGCTAAAATTGGATGTAATAAAAAATCGGACACTATTTAAATAAAAAGAATACCACATTTTCTTAAAATATTCTAATTTTATTTAAAAGAATATTGTAAACCTTTTTAGGTTAAGATCAGTAAAATTCTTTAACAGAAATAACCAAAGTAAAAATAAATCTTTAAAAAAGTTTAATTTTAACTATATATGTAAAATAAGTAAATACCTTTTTTACACAACTCCACTAGTTCTCCAGCACAAAACACTTTAAACGAAACACGTTAAGGTTAAGACCCCATGAGCGCACTTGGACAACGAGGGTGCAAGTATGCATCCCTGAGGGACTCCACAAGAGACAGTCACGTGGTCGGCACGAGCCAATGGCAGCCACTTGTTAACAGCATATGGTGTGCGTGTAGGCGGGAGGGGGGCGAACAGCTGACATCCATATTCA